TTTTTATCAAGAGGACCTTTTGCTTACCCATGCCAGTAGTATGATCTCCTGGTCTGTACGCATTCGGTTTTACTTTCACCCTGCTCCAACCTGGGCCATCCTTATGATCCTGGTAAAAATTACATAGATCTTCCTCAAAGCTGCAACTAACCTCTGTGGGATTGAAGGAAATTTCTGGACAGTAACAAGAAACACAGGAAGAAGGATGGAAATACAAGAGTGAATTTGCATGATTAGCTGGAACATTCCAATCAATATCAGTAAGCACTGACATAATAAGTATGACCAAAGAATTGGTTGGTTGGTTTGTCTGCTTTCTAAATCTAATTCTATTTCCATTACTAACAGTTGGGTATATTTGGCTACTAGCATTACATAAGAAAGATAGATAAAAAATTGGAAGTGCCCATGCAGTCAAAATATCCGCTTGTGCACATGTGAAAGCAATGCAGTAGGCCAGCAGGGTGAAGGAATATTTGTGCGTGCCTCCTGTACTTCTAATTCATCACTAATATACTACAGGCTGCCTTCATTGTAAATAACTTACTGTTCAGATTCCAATAACTCATAGGAAGGATAATAGAGGATTCATGAAAGACGTACCCAGATAATTCATTTCACCGAGCCTGAGTATTGTGTTTCCTGCATATGCTTCTGTATCTGTAGGCAGTGATTATATTGAGGACTCTACTGAGCGTATAGGAATCTGTGTGTGTGCTATATCCACGATAGAATACTCTCCATTCCCTACACTCAGAGCTGATGCAAACCTATCACCTCTGTGTGACAGGTTAAATCTGCTGTGATTTTCTTCTATGTGAAAGTGAAAAATAGCCCATAAGAATAAATAAACAGCTGCCAAAAACAACAAATATCCTTCAAGATGAAAGACTAAAGATAATTCATTTTGGACTGCTTCTATGTATGAAAGATTTATAGAAAAAATTGAAGTATTTCAGCTCTCACATGAACTTATAAGAATACAGAAATCCTGTATATCCAGAAATAATCCTGTTCCAGGAAATATTTCTTTATTATTATTATATGTTAAGCAGATAATACCAAGGGCCTGGTTCCTGTTTTTCTGTGATAAATGGCTTAATTTTATACTCATGTCTTCTTTCACAAGAACATTCTGTCATTTCTCAAAGACCTTAGCAAATCTCAGGAATTAGGCTATTAAATAGGGTTGTTTTAGCAGATCAAAGAATTATAATCAATTAACCACTTAAAAGACAAATATGTAATCAAACATACACATGTAGATTACAGACATCTTGATCTGTGCTGTCCTAAAGCAATAAAATGCACATTTTAAAAATTACATTAAACAAAACTGTCAAGAATCATCTGGTAGTAAGCTCCATCAAGCATACCATTTCTGAGTAACATGCACAGGGCATACACTGAAAAGATTCCATCTACTGAGTGGCACCCAGAGCTGCCCTTTAAAAAAGACAAGAGCTCTTTCCATTCATGAAAAAGACTACAGTTTGACAAAAGCTCCCACTGGGAAAAGGGGTGGAAGTATATATAATGTAAAGTTTTCACTTACTCACCCTTTCCCTGCACTATCTCCCATCCTAGATTTTCAGAGGGCTTCAAGTAATTCCTCTCCATCCTTATGTATGGGGCTGAGGTGGGGGGGTCAGTAGCAGAGTACTGTTCCCAGGAACACTAGATCTATCCAAGCCACCGTGTGGACTGCTTTGCTCTCTCCCAGCTAGAATTATAATATGCAGGCCAGTGTAATGATAACTTTATGCAAAACAAGCCAAGAAGCAGGCAGATGATCTGATTTGATTAAGCACAACTATCTGCTGTTTGCTTTTACAAAACTGTTAGAATGTAAGCTTGCATGTTTTGAAGCAAGCTTGTCAGTTCTGAAAATAAGACTGAAATGCAAAACAAACTCTTAGTGGCTGGAGAATGCTTAAAATGTTGGCTTTCCAATACAGATTGTAATGTTTACATAGTGTTCTGTGTTAGCTTTTTGGTCCCAAGTATTTGAAGACCCTCATACAATTCAGATGTTACAAAATACATTAGACTAATACAGCTACCTCCACAGTAGCCTCAAAGATATCCAAGTCTGAAGCAAAGACTGGGCCCTGCAAAAAGAACCCATCCCCTCCAAGGCCCTGGGATAGAAGGCATCTCCAAATTTAAGAAAACCAGGCCCTGTCTAGGTGGAGCTCAATGCTCTGGCACACACCACCTCGGGTGGCTGAAGAATACTCAGATTTTGCCTGAGTGGCTGCAGACATGGGAGGGATTCACTGCAGCCCAGCTGCTGATAACAACCCCCAATTTCAGCCACTTTTTTGCCAGCTCTCGGCATTCCTTGCATTCCTATTCAATTGATCTCCTGACAACCTGACCTTGACAGCCACTGATTACTTTCCTGGATTTCAACAAGAAACACACAAAAAAGTAAAAAGTAAAAAAAAAAAAGGTAGAACAATGTATTGTGGCACTTTAAAGACTAACTGCTATATTTTAATGTAAGCTTTCAAGGGACATCATCCATTTCTCTAGATAAGTGAGTAAGAATACAGAGACTCTCCTGGATGCTCCTTGTTTGGTCTGACAACCCAGTAGGCCTTTCAGCAGGCCTAGCACTGGTGTATGCTTTGTTTTCGCCTTGCACTATTTGCTACCAACTCTCTTGTGTAGTGATCCAGCCTGGTCTCAGGCTTGCTTTCAACATCTCTGGAGAGACTGCAGTTTTTCCAGGAGTAGCTCCTGGCTGGTATGTCAAAAACCGAGATAAGGGGAAACATTCACAACAGATAGATTACAGAAGAAGCATTTTAGTCCACCACATTCAAATACAATCAATTTTTTTTTAAAAAATGGTACAAAACAAACTGGGGGAAGAAACTTCAGGAAAACTCATACCTGTCTGACTGGTGCAGAAAACAGGAGAGAAAGAAATGTCATCAAGAGCAATATATCCCCCACTGGCACTGTTGAAAGCTACTTCAAAAATGACCTGGAAACAAAACCCACATACAGTTCCTTCAGTACTGCAGCAATGGTTTATCTCATTGCAACTTAACAACGTATTTTCATGCAGAAAACTTTGTTGCAGTGTTCTGATTTTTAAGTATTAACCACAGTACAGGTTTTGATACTGGAGACAGAGAGGTTTTGTAAGAAGCAAAAACATGGCAACTCACAATTCACCTCTCTCTAATATAATGCAGAGGAAAGAACACATGCCTCTTACTCTCACTCTCAAATAACTGACCATCTGGCTTCAGGGAGAGAATAACTAAAATACAACTAAACAAAGCTCCTCAGAAAGTGTAGGAGGAATACATATGAGATTGTCTGTAGTCTATTTGTTTTCCTGAGAATGAGCCTCATTGAACACAACAGGGCTTACTTCTGAATAGATATGCAAAACAGATCATGTATTATGTCATTTGCCAAGTTCACACAAGCATGATAAATTCAGTAAGCTGAATCCAGATGTACATAGTTGCAGGCAGTTGTGTTGGTAGAAACAGACTTCCTCACCCCCTGGCCTGTACACATTCTATCAACTGTTATACAGAGAGCTGGTAAGAAGAGAAGTTTGAGATATCCTAAAATCAGGCAAAGACACCTTCTGTGAATAACAGATAACGAACTGAACAAATTGGATTGCTTATCTCAATTCCCGACAGAACAAATATACATTTTTAAAAGGATTCACTAGTCATGGACCTAACAATAGCATAATGGAGAGCAGAATAAATTCATGCTTGTTGTTGGTCTCCAAGGGATAGAAGAGTAAAATATATCCATAGAAACTGAACCCCTATGAGAAAGTAAGGGTTTTCCTCTTTGACTGTCAGGATAGTAGTTCAATATCATACTTCGATACCAACACTGAGAAAGATGACTTTACATAATGCAGTTTGAATTGCACTGGTAAGAAAGGGATAGATCACTACTGCTTTTTCTCCTGCCCCAGTTAAACCCACATAGGAAAACTGATTAATTCTAGAACCTTAGAACCACATGTGCATTTTAGGAAGAGCATATACAACAATATTGGAGAAAGAACAATTTGTCAGGTAGTATTTACTCCCAAGTGAAATTTGCCAGATGGATCAGTTTTAAATATTTTTCACATCATACTAAAGAGGAACAAGCAGCAGGAAAGTATAGTTTTCATATCATAATACATTTCGAACTGTAGATATGGAAGCCTGAAGGTCAGATAGTTTGGTGGCCTTACCTCCATTGGATATGGTGCGCTGAAATCCACTTCTCCTAAAATCCAATTGTTACTCATAGGACTGGCTGCTTTCCAAAGCTCTTCATAAAAGCCGTTTATGTCTTTCATGTAGATGGTGAAAACAATGCCATTTTGCTGCTGGACGATGTAGTAAAAGGACAAACAGCCTGACATAGGGGTTGTAGTCCTAGGTGAGACAAGCTGAGCCACTTCCTGGAAATGCTTGACATACAGAGAATCCACATACATGTAGTGACCTAAAAATAAGAGAAATGTGTTGATGCACAGAGATGATTTCTACAGCAGAGGAAACAAATTTGATGGATAATTCTCATGAATAGTAAGAAACAGGTGAGCAGCAGTGAGCTACTCAAAAATGTCTATATTAAAAGACTGGTGTTTCAATGCTTCTCTTTCACATTCTACCCCAAGTAATAAAGTTAGATAATCTCCTTTGCATGTTCTGGATGAAAAGAGTAAAACAATCAACTAAAACTCCTTCCTATATACTACTTCCTTCTGTCCTCTTAATTCATCATGATAATTTTGATTACTGTATTGTATAAGTAACAAATGTGAGTTGAAAGAGATTCTTATGAAGAAAATATCTAGTACAGTGGTACCTCGACTTAAGAACTTAATCCGTATTGGGACTGCATTCTTAAGTCAAAACGTTCTTAACTCGAAGCACCATTTCTCATAGGAATGCATTGAAAACCATTTAATCTGTATCTGCTGTTTTTCGTTCATATGTCAAAGTGCTGTTCGTAAGTCGAGGCATTAGTTCCCATAGGAACTAATGCAATGCTGGTTAATCCGTATCTACCACTAGGGGGCGATTTTTTTATTTTTTTT